TACCCATGGCTTTTGCTGTCCCAACATTCATGCGCCCTGCCCACCTTCGGTTAGGCCTAAAGCTGGTTTCGAGCGGGAGAGGTTTTCCTTGGTCTGTAGACTCAGCTATTTCTCAAGTGGGGCTCGGTTGGAGACAAGATTTCTCTTACAGTCGGGGGTCTCCAAAACATTCTCCTAAGTTTTTTTGCAACAGGCGAAGCAGCTAATGGTTTCATTTTTATTAATGAGAAAAGAGAAGTAACTTGCTCACCAAAGTTTACCCCTGATTTAAATGGCCAGACTGTTCTTTCCTTTCAACACCCATTTTAGTCGTTTCCTGGGCAACGCAGACTTTTGAAGGGCAGCCTCTCGGGCCTGTTGAGAGAAATGCCCTCATCCCCAGCTAAGGCGGGGGATGGGGGGCGCGGAGTATAACTACAACAGCGTCAGGGCAAGTAAGGGAAATAGCTAAGGCTACGGGGCAGCTCCATGCCTTCCCTCTGGCCAGAAATCTCTCAGTATTCCTGTTCTTCCAGAAGAGTTTTATGCTTCCACGGACCCTCCCACCCACTCCTCCTTTGGATGGCTGCTAAGACCAGGCCAAGCTTATTAAAGCGGAGGTCTTATTAAATCCTTTTTAATAAGATTTAATACTTTGGCTGACTAGATGGTCCTCTTACTACTCAGCCAGTGAGAACTACATTGTCCTGCTTGTGGTACATCTGGGACCTCCCTTGCTCTGAGCTGTCCTTCCCACAAGAAGCAAAAACACTGAATGGGTTGTGTTCACGTAACCTCTAGACACCAGAGTCTGGCCTACATTGCATTTCTGGGAGCACGAGAGGTTCAAGTGAGCTAAAAAAAAAAAGTTAAGTCCCTTCGACAAACCAGAGCTAAAGGATACACTAAAGAGCATGGCCTCAGCTTGGGAAAGCCCTCAACTCCTAGTGAAGGAGAATGGGGACATGTGTTACTGGCCCAATAACTGACCTCAGTTTCAATCCCAGCTGACCTGGAAGGGCACTGCTGTGGTTCCACCACCTTATGACTAGCCAGAACCCTAGAAAGGCAGGAATCCAGTCCCTTCCTCAATGAGGCGCCTGCACAACTTAGGCCCCATCCCACCACCCCACCAAAGATTTGTTTCTCAAGTCAGTGCCAAGGAGAACAGAGACTAGAGGAACAGTTTAGTCATTTCAGTTTGCAGCCACAGGGAAAGTCTCCAGTGGCTCTTTCCATAAGTAACAGGTAAGGGAATGATGTTTTATGGAGCCCTAGAAGTGTTCATTTGTGCCTAACACCCAAAGTAAACAGGGCTAGCTTTAAAGGCATTTATTTGCCTTTCCCCATTAGATTTGAACAAAATTACTTGTAGCTATAAAAACATCATTTCACCCTTAGAATATCCAATCTTAAAATGGAAACAGCCAAGAAAATGAGTCAAGGGGTCACAAATACCAACTCTTAATCCTTAAAGCCTTCTATGGATCCAGCTCCTTCATAATGAAAGAGTACCAAGGCCAAAGGTATGTACAAGTCCTTGTGCCTGCAGGAGCCAGTTGTGCTCTTCACTGATTTAAATAACTGCATGCTCATGTGTGCCAGACACTGTACTAGGTATACGGGCTATTATGATGAACAAAATTCAACCACAGCTGAAAATTCATGAAGAATTCAAAATCCTCAGAGAAGCAGGCTGTCACAATTCACTTCAGTTCTCAGTTACTCCTCCCTGTAAAGGACACAGGGAGCTAACGCATGGACAAACGAGGACTATTTGGTGTAGCTTCCAAACTGGGGTAAGCCAGGCCAGGAAATCTGTGAGGACCTTATGAGGGCAAGGTCCACGTGCTTAGAACCCCTTTATGGAGAAACCATCTCTGCTCCCAAAGTCAGCCTGGTCCTTGAGTTCTAAGGCGAAGGCCTATTAGGCCTATTTCCCCATGTTTTGGGGACACTTTAGCCGAGAACTTATAAAAATAAAATGGCGAAACCCAAATAAAAACCTTACTTTCTGTTTAATTTGTTTTGCCAAACAAACACAGTGAAAACTTTAGTCTGACTAATTGTACAGAAAATAGAATTTGTAACCAGTAGCAAACATAACAAGATAAACCTAAGTCCCTGGCAAGCTGGATCTCCATCAGCAGGTCACCTAGATCCCCTTGTAGATGGCCTCCTGGGGAGGGAAGTCCTAGGAGGCAGAGGCACAGATCTGCCAGTCCCCATCAGAATCAGAGGCTGCACCTGGGAAGGAAAAGCACGAAAAAGGGGAAAACCAATGTTTCTTGGCTCTCTCATCACACTACACAGGAGAGTTACGTCTGACTGCTGGCCAACCTCAAGGTGGCGTCTTCCCAAACCCATAGTCCTTGGGCAGCCCACCTGCATCCCTAGAGGGTAAGTTTCAAGTTCAGTGGTTCCTAAACCTCTACTGAACCAGAACCTGCAACATAAACTGGGGGTGGGAGGTGGGGGCGGGGACGTGTTAACCAAGTCATAATTGCTGGTGTCACCAGTACAGAGTCTGAGGTCCCAGATTTCAGGAGGAAGCGAGGGTGCCAAGTCACCAGCAAAAGAGTCCAGGTGTCAACCAGTGCTCCAGGAGTACAGGGGAATCTGAAAGTGGCAGCCTGAGGTCCTCCTAGGCTGGCAGGGGTCCGGGAGCCCCGCAGGCCACAGGGGGACCCGTTCACATTCCGTGCTTCTTGCGGATGACAGCCATAGCCAGTAGCCGATCCTTCTCGCGAAGTTCTTCGCGCAGCTTGGCCTCGGTGAGACGCAGGTGGCGGATGCTGCCCTTCATCTCCTTCATCTTCACTTCCATTAGCGCCAGGATGTCCCGTTGCTCGTTCAGCTTGCGCAGGAGCTCCTCCTCCGTGGTGCCTGACGACAATGAGTACGAGTGGTCGGAACCAGTATCAGGGAAGCCCTCTTCCCCAACTACCACCAACTGGGGCCCCATAGGGCACTCGGCGGCCTCCAGCCCTGCGGTAGCAGCCTCTAACTCCGAGGCGGCGGCTGCGGCGGCGGCGCCCTCTGCGGCCGCGAACTCCACTTGCACCGTCAGATCGATGGGCTTCACATCTTCTCCAGTGGGAGGGGTGGGCGCCGGCGGCACGGATCCCGGAGCCTGGCTGCCGTCTACAGCGGCCTGAAGGGTGAGGAGCACAGCCGCAGAGGCAGACACCAGATTTGGCTGCAGCTGGGCGGTCTGGGCAGTGGAGGCTGACGGCGATGGCTGCTGCGGCTGCTGCTGCTGTTGCTGCTGCTGTTGTTGTTGCTGCTGCTGCTGCCTGCGGCGGGCGGCTGCGGCCCCCGCAGGTCTGCGTGCTACTTTGCGCTCGTTAACGCCGCGTAGCGGGAAGATGGTGGGGACGCGCACCGTGTAGGTCTTGCGGCCGCCTTGGAAGTGGACGCTGCAGAGACGGTGACCAGTGGTGGGTTGGAAGGTGGAGAAGCATCCACTGACGCCAGCACGGGACACGTTCTTGAGCCAGAGGCGCCGCAGCTCAGCGTCCTTGGGAAATGTGTAGAAGTGCAGCGCCTTGTCCCGGTGCGAGTTGTTGTAGCAGCCCGGCACGCAGCACGTAAAGCCAGGCATGGCTGCGCCGTGCGGCCCGGCCCGGCCCACCGGCCGCCTGAGACCTTCGACGGCCGGGT